CAAGGCAAAAATGATCCAGATGTGTATTTGGAGTGGGAAAAGAAGGTGGAATTGGTGTTTGATTGCCATAACTACTCTGAGGAGAAAAAGGTGAAACTAGCAGCGATGGAATTTACTGATTACGCTGTGGTGTGGTGGGATCAGCTTGTGCTTAGTCGACGTAGAAATCGAGAGCATCCTGTTGACACTTGGGAAGAGATGAAGGCTGTGATGAGAAAACGGTTTGTTCCTAGTCACTACTACCGCAATCTCTATCAATGATTACAAGGCCTTACTCAAGGGTCCAGAAGTGTTGAGGATTATCACAAGGAGATGGAAATCACAATGGTCAGAGAAAATGTCGAAGAGGATAGAGAAGCAACAATGGCACGGTTTCTGCATGGTTTAAATCGTGATATAGCTAATGTGGTGGAGCTGCAGCATTATGTGGAATTGGAAGATATGGTGCATATGGCAGTGAAAGCAAAACGGCAACTCCAGTGTAAAGGAGCCACTAGCAGAACTGGGCAAAATTCAGGTTCCTCATCTTCTTGGAAACTGAATTGGAGCAAAAAGGAAGAAAATTCTGTTTTTAAGCCTAAAACTGCAGCATCTAAGTCCAAAGAAGTTGGCAGCAATGAGAAGAGTAAAACAGATAATATGCAAGGCAAAACCCGAGACATCAAGTGTTTTCGATGCTTGGGAAGAAGGCATATTGCATCGCAATGCCCTAATAAGCACACGCTGATCTTGAAAGAGGATGGAGAAATTGAAACAGAGGGTGAATCTGATGATGACTCTATGCCACCATTGGAAGATGCTGATGATGGCATGGAATATGCTGTTGATGGAGAACTGCTTGGCACTAGGCAAGCTTTAAATGTGCAAGCCAAAGAAGATGATGAAGTACAATGTGACAATATATTTCACACGAGGTGCAATGTCAAAAACAAGGTATGTAGTGTGATTATTGATGGTGGTAGTTGTACTAATGCAGCTAGCACTGTTTTGGTTGAAAAGCTTAATTTACCTATGATGAAGCATCCAAGGCCATATAAACTGCAATGGTTAAATGATTGCGGAGAAATCAAGGTAAATAAGCAAGTTCTGGTTTCATTCTCTATTGGACGATATAAGGATGAGGTGCTGTGCGACGTGGTTCCCATGCATGCTGGACATTTACTTTTGGGGAGACCATGGCAATATGATAGGTGAGTAACACATGATGGCTTCAAAAATCGCTATACGTTCATCATGGAAGGGAAAACAATTACTCTTGCACCATCGAGTCCAAGGCAGGTTTATGAGGATCAACT